CTGATTAGGGCGTTTTCGCCGTTTTCGCGTTAGCCAGAAAAGCAATCTACCAAACCAGCGAAAGTCCTGCAAACAGAATCTGCTGGAAGACTGTATCCTGAACTTTTTCGAAGGCCTACTTAGTCACTCATGAGAGGCGCCGCTCTCGAATCGTCTTACTGTTGGTTCTGAAAGAGCCCTATTCGGTACCGAAAATGAAAACTACAATATTGAGCCCTAGATGTCGGGTCCTGCTCCCAAGGTAGAATTGAAATTAGCTAGCCCTTTTTGGCTTTTTGCCTAAAAGGTTTCGAGTTTTCTGATGGCTTTCCGAAGAAAAGAAGAGCGAAGGGTGCCTTGTTAACGATCTCAACCTTTCTCCATCATCTTCTCTTCCGGCTTCAACATTTAGCACAATCTACCGTATTTTTCTGATTGCTCGTCAGATAGGTTGTGTGCGGAGGAAACACCCTTGCCGACGCGCTCAGCATGATTCAAATTTTGGCGAGATCACTCGTGCAATGTTATGTTTTGTTGTTTGTTAAATGAAAAGCATGCTTCTCTATAGATTTAAAAGCTGTTTCAGTAGAGAACGATGGGTGATGAACTAACAACCCCGGCTATGCGAGGGAAATCACTTGTGAGTTGGAACTTTATTTTTTCTTTTTTTGTAACCTTGCATAAAGTGAGCGTAAGACTACAGAGTTGACTTTGTACGAATCTCGGTATTTCACTTTTATTGATGGATGTAACCTTTTCAGAACTGTTCCCCCAGATTATGCACCTTTATTGGCTAAGGTTTCAATGGATTCTTTTTCGTAGTCTGAAAGAGTTGTGATATCCGTAAAATCACCCACCGTACCTATCCTTCGACGCTACTCAATCCAGGAGGAAACACGAGGCAAATGACCTAACATACCTCATTCAGATCCACTATATCAAATGACGACCGGCCCGGTGATGGAATTACTGAACCAATTCAGAATCCGCTCGTAATGCCAATCTCTCGTGCGATTGATAAGCACTCTAACCCTGCTCAGTGGCGTAAGACACGATAATTCGGTACTCGCTCTAAAATGGTAGCAGAGGTGCTATAAAGTGGAAAAATGGCGAAAAAGCGAAGTGAAACGGTCAAAAACGTACGAAAAAGCCTTTGCTCTATTTGACTCAGAAAGCAACGTTGGACGAGTTTCCCGTTGGCATCGTGCTTATAGCCGCTAAGAGCGCGTTCAGACTTCGCGATCGGATCGCTCGACTAGGATCGCG